GGATCTATTGTAATAACTGGATAGGGTATTACTAGCTTGGAGCCGAAGAACCCACGTGCTCGGGGGATTCTTGAGGTACTGCAGCCTAAACCAGACTAAATTCACACGGGCTACCCAGACATTTTCCCCATAGAACTCAATGTAAATTAAAACATCATAGCTGACAGAACCTACAGCTTTCATAAAGGTCGGATTTTGTGGGGATTTTAGTGTCCCTCGTCATCTTGAACTTTTTTTCTTCTTAAATCCTTCGGTTTTCTTTAAATCCACACTTTAGTGCCACAAACCATGCTCGTCTGGCTCTCCCTCTAACTCCCACCCTGATGAGCTGCTCTGATTGGTCAGAGCGCGGCCGAGCCCCTCTGTGCACGTGCGTGAGACCCACACACGTGTATTTGACGCAACGCATCATGGGAGATAGCGCAAAGCATCATGGGAGTTCATCCACTGCGCAGAACCGGGAGAACCAGACGATGCCCAAATACAGGCGAGTTTCCCATGGATCTTTGAGAGTTCCGGGCGACTTCCGCTAATCTTTCGGCACCCATGCCGGCACAAAGAGCCACTGAGCACAACCATTCATTTGAACACATCTGACCCACAGTGAGGAGGTCTGACCCACAGAGAGGAGGTCTGACCCACAGAGAGGAGGTCTGACCCACAGTGAGGAGATCTGACCCACAGAGAGGAGGTCTGACCCACAGAGAGGAGGTCTGACCCACAGAGAGGAGGTCTGACCCACAGAGAGGAGGTCTGACCCACAGAGAGGAGGTCTGACCCACAGAGAGAAGGTCTGACCCACAGTGTGAGGAGGTCTGACCCACAGTGTGAGGAGGTCTGACCCACAGAGAGAAGGTCTGACCCACAGAGAGAAGGTCTGACCCACAGTGTGAGGAGGTCTGACCCACAGAGAGAAGGTCTGACCCACAGAGAGAAGGTCTGACCCACAGTGTGAGGAGGTCCGACCCACAGTGTGAGGAGGTCTGACCCACAGTGTGAGGAGGTCTGACCCACAGTGTGAGGAGGTCTGACCCACAGTGTGAGGAGGTCTGACCCACAGAGAGAAGGTCTGACCCACAGAGAGAAGGTCTGACCCACAGTGTGAGGAGGTCTGACCCACAGAGAGAAGGTCTGACCCACAGAGAGAAGGTCTGACCCACAGTGTGTGGAGGTCCGACCCACAGTGTGAGGAGGTCTGACCCACAGTGTGAGGAGGTCTGACCCACAGTGTGAGGAGGTCTGACCCACAGTGAGGAGGTCTGACCCACAGTGTGAGGAGGTCTGACCCACAGTGAGGAGGTCTGACCCACAGAGAGGAGGTCTGACCCACAGAGAGAAGGTCTGACCCACAGTGAGGAGGTCTGACCCATAGAGAGGAGGTCTGACCCACAGAGAGAAGGTCTGACCCACAGTGAGGAGGTCTGACCCACAGAGAGAAGGTCTGACCCACAGTGTGAGGAGGTCTGACCCACAGTGTGAGGAGGTCTGACCCACAGTGTGAGGAGGTCTGACCCACAGTGAGGAGGTCTGACCCACAGAGAGGAGGTCTGACCCACAGTGAGGAGGTCTGACCCACAGAGAGAAGGTCTGACCCACAGTGTGAGGAGGTCTGACCCACAGTGTGAGGAGGTCTGACCCACAGTGAGGAGGTCTGACCCACAGAGAGAAGGTCTGACCCACAGTGTGAGGAGGTCTGACCCACAGAGAGAAGGTCTGACCCACAGTGTGAGGAGGTCTGACCCACAGTGTGAGGAGGTCTGACCCACAGAGAGGAGGTCTGACCCACAGTCAGGAGGTCTGACCCACAGTGAGGAGGTCTGACCCACAGAGAGGAGGTCTGACCCACAGTGAGGAGGTCTGACCCACAGTGTGAGGAGGTCTGACCCACAGTGTGAGGAGGTCTGACCCACAGTGAGGAGGTCTGACCCACAGTGTGAGGAGGTCTGACCCACAGTGAGGAGGTCTGACCCACAGAGAGGAGGTCTGACCCACAGAGAGAAGGTCTGACCCACAGTGAGGAGGTCTGACCCACAGAGAGAAGGTCTGACCCACAGTGTGAGGAGGTCTGACCCACAGTGTGAGGAGGTCTGACCCACAGTGTGAGGAGGTCTGACCCACAGTGTGAGGAGGTCTGACCCACAGTGTGAGGAGGTCTGACCCACAGTGAGGAGGTCTGACCCACAGAGAGGAGGTCTGACCCACAGTGAGGAGGTCTGACCCACAGAGAGAAGGTCTGACCCACAGTGTGAGGAGGTCTGACCCACAGTGAGGAGGTCTGACCCACAGAGAGAAGGTCTGACCCACAGTGTGAGGAGGTCTGACCCACAGTGAGGAGGTCTGACCCACAGAGAGAAGGTCTGACCCACAGTGTGAGGAGGTCTGACCCACAGAGAGAAGGTCTGACCCACAGTGTGAGGAGGTCTGACCCACAGTGTGAGGAGGTCTGACCCACAGAGAGAAGGTCTGACCCACAGTGTGAGGAGGTCTGACCCACAGAGAGAAGGTCTGACCCACAGTGTGAGGAGGTCTGACCCACAGAGAGGAGGTCTGACCCACAGTCAGGAGGTCTGACCCACAGTGAGGAGGTCTGACCCACAGAGAGGAGGTCTGACCCACAGTGAGGAGGTCTGACCCACAGTGAGGAGGAGCTGTGTCCACATTCAGGGGGCCTTTCTGGGGTGCTACAGAGGCTTTAGCCGTTTAGACATAGGCTCCGTCCCAATTCTGAGGGCACTCGTGTTGTGAGGGCGACACGAGATAGATATCTATCAATGTAGTTCTAATATCATGAATGTATTAATGTATGTGTTTCCATAACAAGCCAGTGATCATCATGTTGGTGACCTTTTGCAACCTGCTTTGTAGAGATCTGACAAAAACAAGACCTTTGTTGTAGTTGTTCCTTTGTGTGATGTTCTGTCCTTGGTCTGTACTGTTTTATTGTGATGTAAAAAAATTACTACAGCCCACTCATTTTTAGCAGAAATAAATATTTTTCAAACAAACAAACAAATAGATGAAATAAAGAGACCAGAGAGAGTGACCTGTGAGAGGGAGAGAGAGACCAGATAGAGATCAGATATAGAGACCAGAAAGAGACCAGAGAGAGACCAGAGAGAAACCAGAGAGAAACCAAAGAGAGAGACCAGAGAGAGAGACCAGAGAGAGAGAGAGCAATGATAGAGACCAGAGAGAGACCAGAAAGAGACCAGAGAGAAAAGAGAGAGACCAGAGAGTGAACAGAGAGAGACCAGAGAGGGACCATAGAGATATCTGACCGAGAGAGCTTCACTCACCCATCACAGCTCATTAAGTTTTCATTATACAAAGTCTCTCGTGTGACTTTTGTACAGTTTTTGAGCCTTCTTCACCTGAGTCACATGTGAGCAACGTCAGAAAGACTAACCCAGAGTTTTTGCCTAGTGCTGATGAGGCTATAACAGCAGGATGTGAATACCGTAATGCCCCAAGTCAACCTCTGGAGTGTTGCTTTTTCTCATCTTCCATGCCAGAGTACATTTTCTCAAGATCAAGTTTAAGGTCCAACATGACCACGAAATGCATCATATTGTCCTGTGTTCATTTCTTAACCTCAGATATAAAACAATATCATTGAATTTTTGTGACAGAAATAAATCCAGCTCTTTTTTGATTTTTCTGATTCCAACAATTCAAAATGTTGGATTTCGGTGAATCCTGCGGTGAATATGGCGGCTTCATGTTGGCGGGGCTTTAATCAGCTGAAGGAAATAGGAGCCCGAGTCGCTGATGGGATATTGATTTGAGGCAAGAAGCTGAGGATTTAAGCAGCGATTAAAGACGGAGCCGGTCGTTGGGCCTGCAGTAAAAGGCGATAAAGGATTTTGGACGAGGAAGTTAAAGGCCCAATATGATACTTCAGACATTTAGCACATAAAATAGCGGCTGGAGTCAAGAGGTTTACTGCAAAGTCCGGTGTAATACACTGGGGTAAATAAGTATTTAGTCAGCCACTGTCGTCCCACTTAAAATGTGATGCCTGTAATTTCAAAACAACTATGAAAGACAAAATGAGAAAGAATAACATAAAGCTGAATTTGAAAGAATTGATTTGCTAATTTTGCTGGAAATGAACTATTTAGAGAATAAAAAACTCAACTCATAAGAAAGCCGAGTTGCATCCAAAAAACACTGTACCTACTGTGGAGCATGGGGGTGGAAACATCATGATTCTGGGCTGTTTTTCTGCAGAGGGATCAGGGCGATAGATCCGTATATAAGGAAAGAATGAATGGGGTCGCGTATTGTGAGATTTGGAGTGAAAGCTATGTTCCATAAGCAACGGCAGTGACGATAAAACGTGGATGGGTCTTCCAGCACGATAATGATACTCGTAAGAAGCATTCTCGCCAGTGTCCAGATCTCAACCCCATAGACAACTTTGGGAGACCACATCACTGCTCTCGGTCAGATCTGCATGGAGGAATGGGCCAAAATACCAGCAACAGTGTGTGATAATCGTGTGCAGACTTACAGAAAACGTTTGAACTCTGCCGTTGCCAACAAAGTCTTCAGATAGACTTCTGTTTTTGACCAAAGACTTATTTACTTATTTGCAAAGGAGTTATTTAATTATCATTATTAAATCAGACAACGTAATTTTCTAGCTTTTTTTCCTCATTTTGTCTCTCATATTTGACGTTTCAAGTGGAAGGACTTGCACAATTTGAGGACACACACGGACAGACGCGCGCACACACGCACGCACACAGGCATTGACGATCCGCTCTTCTCTCCACGGCCACGTTCCATATTAAATTAATCTCATGTTCAACTTGAGCTCATGCAAGTTCAGCCTGGCAGGTTAAGAAGTGTGTGTGTGTGTGTGCATGTGTGTGTGTGTGTGTGTGTGTGTGTGTGTGTGCGTGTGTGTGTGTGTATGTGGGGATGAAAAGCAGCTCTGTGGGGGCAAGCGAGCGGGAGGGAGAGAAAAGGGGGCGAGCCTGCGTGCGTCGCCGCTGATGCGCCCACGTCAGTGCGCCCTGAGTGGGACCGCGTCTCTGCCTTCTCCCGGCTCCATTCACTCCCCACAGCGTCTCCACATCAGCCCTCTCTCTTTCCGCCGCCTGCACCGCTCCGTTCTCGGCTTTTCCAGACACTGCGCGTCGCTCCAGAGCAGGACTACACCTCTATGCTCCCCACGCCCGCCTGCGAGCCTTTGTGGCAGGGCAGCCGAGCGCGCACGCATCTGTCCACGGTCCCACTGTAAACGCATGCGTGGCTGTCTGGTCTGTGGACACCGGAGAGAGGGGCATCTCTATAGCCTGCTATTTGGGTTTTTTTTCCCTCATTGCGCCTCCAAAACAACCCACGCACCGATCCTATATCTGCGCAAAAGACACATTTCATGACGACTCCCTTCTCGTTCGCGTGAAGCAGTCGCAACATGCTGGCAGCCGGGTTGCTCGCTCTTGGATTGTTGTACAGTTTGGAAGTAGTGGAGCCCGCAGCCTCCTCTGGCATCGATGGTAAGTCCGAATATACACGCACACACACACATGCATGCACTCACAGCAAAGGCGCGATGTTTTGTCATCTCACGCTTTCATGTGCACTGGGAAAGTCTGTTTCTCTGCTCTCCCCAAAGCTCAAACGCAAGAAGGAGACATGTGAAGCAATTACAGCGCTCTTTTGTCTTTGCCTGTGAATCTGGATTTTGCCATGTCACAGCAGTGGTCCCCAGTGTGTGTGCATGTGTGTAGAGAGACATAGGGACCGTGCATTGTATAGCAGTAATGACGGCTTTATGGCTACACATCCCCATATTCATTATAATTAAGTGATAATATTGTGGTCCTTGGATTATCGTGTGTCCAGGGTCTATTGTCACAGGCCCATATTAAGTATAATCCATTTTTACATGTGGTCATTTAACAAAGGCAAAAAATAGAGGGAAAATCCATGTGGCTGTTATATTTTTTTCACATTCAGCGGAATTGGAGGATATTTTTTTCAAGGTTTTTCAGTGCAAGAATGAAGCTTAACGTCTTGAGTAACACTTACAGTTCTGTGTCTTGTTCTGTTCAAAAGTTACACAGCTTTCACCTTCTGACAGCAAGAGTTGGTTGCCATAATGTTACTTCTCTGGAATCTGCAAAAAGGCTGTGTTTTTGTTTGTTGTTTATTGGGGATCCCTGATAGCTTCCAACAGTGTGGTTGCTAATCTTCCTCGGTCCCGGTTAAAACAAACTAATTACAAAAAAAATAAAACAATACATTAATTCATTGCCATCATATGAAATACAGATAAGGCATAGATCAAATACAGTCAATATAAGAAAATAAAAACTCAGGGGGAAATACAAACAACAAAACTATTGGCTTCAACATTACATTAAGTCATACATTATAATGACGTATTTCTTTTAAAAACATACAAAGAAGATCCCTCATCTCCCTCATGACGAGCCTGTAGAATGGGAGTCAATCTGATGCACACGTGTGGTTTTTTTCAGACATTGAAATTGGATAACCAGTCAATTTTACCTTTTTCAGAAACAATAAATACTGTAGTTTATCGTGAACCATATAGGCCAAGATAAAATGTTATGCGCTGTGTTTATACTGGCAAAATAAGAACAACTTGAAACAAGTCTCGCAGCCTTGTTTTGTACAACTTGTAATCTCGTTGTGTCTGTGTTGCATGCAGCAGACCATAATGGAACAGTATTCAAGATTAGATAAAACAAGGGATTGGACAACATGCTTTAAAAAGACTGTAAGATCACGTCTCACAGCACCGATAGTTCTACCATCTTACGAACACATGGTGAATGTGCGGAGACCATGAGAGATGGCTATCCACTGTAACAGCTACAAGTTTAATTTGCTCAACCTGTTCTAATTCGGCTGCCTCCATAATCTGCATCAATCGACACTTTTCATGACGTTGTTACTTCCAATAATCATAGATCTGGTTTTAGAAATATTTACAACCATGTTGTTGCTTTTAACACACTTTAGGACCGAAGCCAAATCATCCTCTAATATTTGATTTTTCAATTTCATTTTGTATACTTTCTTCCATTTATTTTATATTTCTAGATTTGTTGGACTTGGAATAATAATAATAATATTGTTGAAAAATGCCAGTTTACAAAAACTTGTTGCGCAGGGAACAGTGTGAATTCTCTTTATCATAACACGGACGGTTAGAGTGTCTGTATCATTTCAATCCGGAGAGACTCAAGACAAAGATTACATTCTAATTATTTATTGCATGTATGAATGAAACTACTGCAGCTGCAGATCTGACATTAGACACAGCAGGAGGCGGTACGCACCGTATTTGAACATGAAACGAGCAAGAAGGTTTGGTGATTAGACCCCGGCAGAAAGACCGCATGACGTCTGCAGAAGGGAATTTAGAGGAGATTATGAGCCGGGGAAGTTCCAGGTCTAAACCCTGGTGCTGGAGTCCCCTGGGTCTAAACCCTGGTGCTGGAGTCCCCTGGTGGTGAAGAAAGCTGAGCCGATGCACTGACGGGGCTGAAGCAGGTTGATGCAGGACTGAGAGGCTGTGTTTAAATACAGCTGTTAGTGATGGAGAGGAGCTCAGGTGCGCAGCAGAGGGAGGTCTGGCAGCTCCCAGTCTTCCAGTCTGAATTTCCGCTTACACTGCATTTTTGTAAAAGTGTCTGGTCTTTGAATCAAATCTTTGGAGTTTCTGTTGATACTCGATACAAAACCAGTCCTTGAACCGATGACATCACTCAGGGGATGGACTGAATGCATCCCCATCATACAACCATAGCCTTTATACAGATGGTCAATGCTAGCCCGCTAGCTCAATGAAGCCCAATAGCAAAAGACTCATGGACTCAAAGTTTTGCTCTAACTCGCTCTGACTGACGCTAAACTCAACTAGTTCAGTAACGGTTTGTGTCACACCCACCATTATGGATACAAATTCTGTGGTTTAGCGCTTTCTGTGATCCTGGTGTTTATGTTATGATATTGTCTTTGTAAATCCAGATATGAGCCATATAAGGATTGACCAATAAGAACACTGCAGTGACATCAGGATTCAGTCAGTCCACCTATGGCCTCCAAGTGGCGCCTTTAGCACTCAAGTCATGAATTTATACAAGCTTCGAAGAGGTCTTCTGGTTTACATCCTAGATTACATCCTAGGATTACAGCCTGGACTACAGCCTGGACTACACCCTGGACTACAGCCTGGACTACAGCCTGGACTACAGCCTTGACTACACCCTTGACTACAGCCTTGACTACACCCTTGACTACACCCTTGACTACAGCCTGGACTACAGCCTGGACTACAACCTGGACTGCAGCCTGGACTACAGCCTGGACTACTGCCTGGATTACAGCCTGGACTACAGCCTGGACTGCAGCCTGGACTACAGCCTGGACTACAGCCTGGACTACACCCTGGACTACAGCCTGGACTACAGCCTGGACTACAGCCTGGACTACACCCTGGACTACAGCCTGGACTACAGCCTGGACTACACCCTTGACTACACCCTTGACTACAGCCTGGACTACAGCCTGGACTACAGCCTGGACTGCAGCCTGGACTACAGCTGGACTACAGCCTGGACTACAGCCTGGACTACAGCCTGGACTACTGCCTGGATTACAGCCTGGACTGCAGCCTGGACTACAGCCTGGACTACAGCCTGGACTACTGCCTGGATTACAGCCTGGACTGCAGCCTGGACTGCAGCCTGGACTACAGCCTGGACTACAGCCTGGACTACTGCCTGGATTACAGCTCCTGTGGTTCTCCTTTTAATTTCCCCGCAGAGTGATGAGGAGAAAACAAATGAAAATCAAGTGTTTATACCGCGGTGACAAGACGATCGCACAACATCAGCAAAACACAGGGTTTCTCACCGACACCAGAAACAGCGGGAAACTATTGATAAAACCTGTTTTTTTACGTGAAATAATCTATAAGTCTACTTTAAACCGTTCATACTGTATGTGAAGAAAAAGACATTCCATTTACAGCACTTAAGATGCATTTCTTCCATGTAAATATTGGTGTTTAGTTCCATTGTTTCTGGTTTAAACGTTACATACCCCAGCTTTAATCCCGTCACATGGCACACAGCTGTCGTTGGTTGGATAGAAGTCTTAAAAATCAGGACCAGTTTGCACACTACGTGTCCTTTAACTCTTGTCTCCTGCAGAAGCGCTTCTCCTTGACAGCTTTTGTTTACGTTGGCTCCTCTGACCTCGGAAAGACTTCTGGAAACGATTATGCCTTTTCTTTCTTTCTTTTTTCTTTTTTTTTTTTCTTTTACAGTCTCGCCCCGTGTTTGTGTTGAAAAGAATTCTTCCCGCTCTCAGATTTTTGTATTTGCCCAAAATTGCTGCAGACATCCTGGCTTTAAAACACGCCCAGAAAGTGTCTCGAGCGGCATGAAACAGTGCTGCTACATACTCCACGTTTGGCCGAGAGCTCCCTCGGCTTTGAAGATGTGACATTACTGGGTCTGTCATTACGGGGGTTACACTACGTTGACTCACAAAGACAGGATTGTCGTCAGATGGAATTAGTTTAGGGCTTTAAGAAGAAGGAACTATAAGTAGACTGAAAAAAGTGAAGAAAAATAAGTCCAAAATTTAAGATTGAGCACATTCTGACTGCCTTAGAATGAGATTCACCGATGTGACAAGCAAAAATATACAAGAAATATCTCTCTTGGAATGAGAAAATAAAGCAACAGATCTTGAAGTAGACAAAATGGCCATTCTCCCATTGGCAAATCCTGTTTAAAGACAATTAAAATGTGCTCAAATTAAGATACAAACCACTCTATTCAGAAAATTCTTTGCCTTTATAATTTTGTGTGTGTGTTTATAATCTAGACTTTTAAAAAGACAGTATGTAATGTGATAAAAATAATAATACATTTTATTTAAACGGACATTTCAAAACACCCAAGGACACTGTACAAACATGGTTAAAAACAGGGTACAATTTAAAAATATTAGCTTTAATAAAAACAGAAAACAACAGAACTAGACGAAGGTGTTGGGAGGGACTGGTCATGTGGGGAAAGAAAGTCTGACGAGGTGAGTTTGGAGTCAGGGGAAGAGAGTGGGTGTTGCGGAGGTCAGGGGGGAGTGAGTTCCAGAGCGGCTGAATGCTCTACCCCCCATGGTGACGAGTCGGAAAGACGGGACAGAGAGCTGTACATCTGCTTTTATAGTGGTCTAATAAAGATATCGCAATCACACTGCTGTGGCCAGAACCTTCCTCCTGTGACACATGCAGCTCCTCAGCACTGATTACTGATGCAATCCACCTGCTGGGGTTCAGAAACGGTACAAACTCTGTACTGTTTCAAAGAAAAGCGTTTCCTACAGGAATAACTCCCTCTGTTCTGACCCTCGCTCTGACTGTGTGGTACTGTTGCAATAACACTGCAGAAGTTCAAGAATCTGTCTTTATTTAATCGCCAGAACACACCAACACACACACTTGTTTCCTGCCTGGCTCTGGTCGCTCTGCTCGTACGCCACACAGGGGCACTCCCGTGTCCGCGGCGGATACACACACACACATGTTACCCACTGAATTTTTGCACTTTGCATCAGAGCAATGTCGACAAGTGTGAGATGTGTCTTTTCCTAAACAACGCAATCCGTTCTCGAGCTGTTAGCTACAGTAGCAGAGTGTAAACAGGAAGAGAAACGGAAACTTAACTCAGACAATGAGGTAGTCGTTGGAGTTAGTATTAGCGCCACCAGCTGGACCGGGCATAGTACTACAGCACAGTTGCTCTGGCCCGTTTGCGAAAACACGTTCTTGTGACCGCGGGCCGCTTTCACGCCCCTTATTTGTCCCACAGTGGGGAAATTTCGATTTTTTGAATGGAGGCTTATTAGCATTATTAGCAAATTAGCATTTGCTGCGGTGCCAGCATAGTACCAATAGCTTCAACTTTAATATTACCAAAACATGTAGAGGAAAAATTCTTCCTTTTGCATATTGTTAGAATGATGAGTTAGAACGTTAACCACAGTAGCTTCAAAGTGTCATGAAATATCCAAAAAATACTCAGAAGAGTCGCATTTTCTCCACATATCAGCAGCAACTCTTGCTGGCCTGACCACCACTTCGTCAACCGGAAGTTTATGCGTCACGTGATTGCAAGCCAAGAACACATTGGCGCACACAGCTAGAGTTGGACCCGCTCGTCACCCCGTGCAAATAGGGCTTAAAATAGCGTTATTTATAGACAACCCCTCTCCCTCTTTTCTTTTTTTAACCGACAGCTTTGACCGGTTAACGCTGTGACGGTCAACCACCGGTTAAACGGTCACCGATTTACATCCCTAGATGCAACACTGAAATAAATGATCTCTTACTCTTACTAATTCTACTCCCCCTCTGACAGACTGAAAGCCTTTCTCCCTCATACTTGTTTCACCATCTAATATAAGATATTATTTCTAGTCAAAGTAAAACAAAACATAATTTAATGGCTACAAACAATGGGGAATGTTTCTTCTTTAAAACATTGTTAAAACTCCAAAAAGTCGATTATTGGCTAAAACCGGTGCTGTAGTTTGTAAACGTGACTCGCTCTCCAGGGATCCTGCTCCGAGCTCTTCACCTCTGAGCGCTTCCTGCAGACACAGCCAAAGCACTTTCTCTTCTCACGTCTCTGAAACCACTCTGCTCCTGCGTCCATGTGTTCAAAGTAGTGCTGTCAAATGGTTCAAATATTTTATCACAAATAACAATAATCGCGCAATTCAATTCAATGTATTCTTGTATAGCCCTAAATCACAACAGCAGTTATCTCAAAGGACTTTACAAAACCGTTTAATTCAGTTAAATAAAAATATATAAAAACACAAAGAGCCATGGGTCCATAGGGGGCAGATATGACCAATGTCCATAAATGTTGATGAAGTCCATGAATGTCGTTGAATGTCGAGTGTCCTGCATCATCACCAGGACATGTTTGTATCTCTTCTCAAAGTCCTCTGATTTGGGCTGTGACCTCGAGATAATTTCTGATGGACGTCCAGTAATAACTGTAGAGCGCCACTGCTTGTGTTTTGGTGGCTCTCAAAGGCGATTTGTAGGTCCAAAAAGAAAGTTGATTGTGCAGTAAAATTATCTGGTCTCTTTCTTATCTCTCTCTCAGGTTTCTCTGGTCTCTCTGGTCTCTCTCTGGTCTCTCTGGTCTCTCTCTTGTCTCTCTAGTCTCATGTCTCTCTCTAGTCTCTCTCTAGTCTCTCTCTGGTTTCTCTGGTCCCTCTCTGGTCTCTCTCTAGTCTCTCTCTGGTCTCTCTGGTTCCTCTCTGGTCTCTCTCTAGTCTCTCTCTGGTCTCTCTGGTTCCTCTCTGGTCTCTCTCTACCAAACCAAGAAATGTGAAATTGTGCTCTACAGGTTTCAAATAGATAATAATATTAACTAGAAACTTGCAATGGCTGAAGCCATTGCGATTGACTGCGGAACAGATCTAATGTGGAAATCTGCTAAAAAAAATCCTTGAAATCCTTTAAAAGGCCTTGAAACTGTTAAAATACTTGATAGATATTTGAAACTCCTGAAGTCCTTGAAATTGTTGAAACCTTTAAACTCCTGAAATCCTTGAAACTGTTGAAACATTGAAACTCCTGAAATCCTTGAAACTTTTTTTAAACCTGGAAACTGTTGAAAGTGTGGAAACTCCTGAAATCCTTGAACCTCCTGATATCCTTGAAACTGGTTAAATTCTTAAACAGTTGAAATCCTTGAAACTACTGAATGTATTGAAAGTGTCCTTGAAACTGAAAAATCCCCTCACCGCTGAAACAATTTGGTTCCTGTAACTAAGGAAACCTGGTCTGTGGTCATTATCTGGTGGTGGTCTGAGTCTTCGTTTGGGTCTTGGTCTGGTGGTATAATGCAACCTATTAGGTTGCATTATACTGGTTTACATGGAAAAATCCCTATTAGGTTGCATTATACTGGTTTACATGGAAAAATCCCTATTAGGTTGCATTATACTGGTTTACATGGAAAAATCCCTATTAAGTTGCATTATACTGGTTTACATGGAAAAATCTCTATTAAGTTGCATTATACTGGTTTACATGGAAAAATCCCTATTAGGTTGCATTATACTGGTTTACATGTACAAATCCCTATTAAGTTGCTTTATACTGGTTTACATGTAAAAAACCCCTATTAGGTTACATTATAGTGGTTTACATGTAAAAATCCTTATTAAGTTGCATTATACTGGTTTACATGTAAAAACCCCTATTAAGTTCCATTATACTGGTTTACATGTAAAAACCCCTATTAAGTTCCATTATACTGGTTTACATGTAAAAACCCTATTAAGTTGCATTATACTGGTTTACATGGAAAAATCCCTATTAAGTTGCATAATACTGGTTTACATGGAAAAATCCCCATTAAGTTGCATTATACTGGTTTACATGAAAAAAACCCTATTAAGTTGCATTATACTGGTTTACAAGGAAAAATCCCTATTAAGTTGCATTATACTGGTTTACATGGAAAAATCCCTATTAAGTTGCATAATACTGGTTTACATGGAAAAATCCCCATTAAGTTGCATTATACTGGTTTACATGTAAAAAACCCTATTAAGTTGCATTATACTGGTTTACATGGAAAAATCCCTATTAAGTTGCATTGTACTGGTTTACATGGAAAAAAAACCCTATTAAGTTGCATTATACTGGTTTACATGGAAAAAAACCCTTTTAAGTTGCATTATACTGGTTTACATGGAAAAAACCCTATTAAGTTGCATTATACTGGTTTACATGTAAAAACCCCTATTAAGTTGCATTATACTGGTTTACATGG